CATAGTCTTAACCAAATGAGCTAAAATATTGCATATCTTATCTTTGCAAGATGATAGTCATAATCATGTAAAGTTTGATACATTATGAAAAGATGGACAATGCTTCCATAGGTTAAGCAACTCCACTCTTTGGACAAATGTATTCAAATGCCACATTCATGCTCATCCCTCTGATCTTATCATCCATGTTGTAAGAATGAACAATGCACATAACATCAACCTCATCATATTCAATGTGCCTAAGGCTAGAGAAAAATAAATAAAGTTTTGGTTCTATTGGTGTTTTTCCACCAACATAGCCCATGCACTTGATCTCTACCTTGTCTTTATGAGCAGAACACACTTTGAGCAAACTGTGGGGGAATCGATCCCCAAAATTCTACAAGTGAAAGTTCTGAACCGACAATTATGATGCACACAAGATGTTGCCAGCTTCTACTACTGATGGTTGACTTCAAAATGTTGAACAAGGAGGAGGAACAAGTCAAGAAAGGATGAACCTGTCAAACCTAAATCAAACTCAAAACCATGACAGGTTTGGCAAAATAAGATGGCACCACCAGTGAAAGCGCCACTACTGTAGGCGCCACCTCAAGAATCCTCATCTTCAAGAGTGAACTACGGTACTCGATCAATGAACTTCCACAACTACTAAGGGCAAGATTATGAAGCAACCTCAAGTGGGCATCAGGGAGGACGCATGTCTTTCTCTGGCCGAGGGTATTATGACTCTCAGCAGGCCTTTCACCGCTTCGACAACAAACTCGCACCCATTGGAGAGACAAATGCTACCATACAAGGTATGTTATAAAATCATACACAATGGCAAGTAAGCATGGGACACGAGATGGCCAGCCTCCTGCAACAATAGCAACAACAAAAATCAAAATTAGAAGGCTCTGTTCTAGCACCTCCACATCCGGCCACCTCGTTGAGCAACCATGACAACAACTAGCTTGGGGGAGAAGGCATCCCCGTGTATCTAGATAAGTATTTCTTTTCCTTTTATTATTCTTAGTTTGCTTTATATATATATTAAAAAAAGATGAATAACTAAAAACAAAATAAAAAGTTATCTTTATAGAAATATATATAGTTATAATGTGTGATGTAAAAATGAAAACAACATAAAGAGAGTGTCTAGTTTGCTTTAATTTGTTTTTAGGAGCTAAATAAAATAAAAAAAGACTCTGAAGATAATCTCTTAAAATAGAAATGATGAATAGTTGCTCTATTGTAATTCCTTGCAAGTACCTAGTTTTTATCCTTGAATTCTCCCGAGTTTTGGATAAAATTATTTTGATATAAGGATTTACTATGAACTTGAAACTCGTGGGTAGCATATGTTTGATCTAAGTCTAGATAATTAACGGATATGAGATGAGAAGGTCTGAGCTACTTTCATCTTGTTCCAAGTGACACTAGAATTCTGGAGATTTATCTTTTGAAAAACATAAAAATGCTACATGATGAGTTCCTGTATGATAAAGAATTCCTACCAGAGCCATACATAATATTTATTCTAGAAAAACTTCCACATATATACTGCTTGTATTGTATTGAGTTTTGTCAAGCTTTGTTGACCCTTATGAGAAAATTGTCATGCTCTTAAAATCAAGATCACATGCACTCCACCCAAATATGCACTACTCCTACACTAGGGGTAGGCGCAAAACATGTCATTCCATTTAGATCCACCCAAAAATGTTTTACTCCTACACTAGGAGTGAACACAAAAATATGTTTGATAGATTTTTCCATCCACCAAATAAATGCTCCAAAGTTCTTGTTGCTATCTCTCAAAAGTTTTGAAGAAAAGACATGGGCTATGCAAAAGTTATTCATATAAAAAAAGAAAAAAGGAGAGTTAAAAAATGGACAAGTGTATGAGATATCTAAAACAATGGATACTCAAATGCCCGCCTAACAAAAAGAGAGAAGAAAAAAGAGATGAATAAGATAGCCCATGTTCTCAAGCAAATATTTTTAAGAGAGAGATGTTTTCAAGGAGCATAATAGAATTAGGATAGCCACCATATATCCACATGCATGCACATCTTGATTTGATTGTATGACTCAACTCATCTCTTTGGATCCGTTGTTTAACTTTACAATATATGCATTGCTAGTATGCTCTAACTTTCTCCCTACCTATAAACTCCACATAAGCTTTAGTGTAAGGAAGAGATAAAGCACAACATCATTTTATGCCTTGGTGAGGATCTACAAATACCACATATATTGAGAGACTTGAGAGTGTCATACAATGGAATCTCTGAGTTTCATTTTGAAAACTTACAAAAACTCCAGAACAATGGTGAAACAAAGAACTTCAGACATACTGTTTAACTTGATCGTTCTATCTTTCAATTACTCAAGACCCAAGTGAAGGCTAAGAAGCCCTATGGTTGAAGGTAATATGGGTAAGTTTGAAAGTCAGATCAATTCATTCTAATCCGGAGGAGAATTTTTGATTGAACGCCTGTTTACTTTTGATGAGTGAAAGCATTATAGAAACTACTGATCCATTGCTGAGTTTAGGTTTGCTCAAGGACTAGCAAAGGTTAAGTGTGGGGGAGCTTGTTGACGATCATTAACATCAATCATAAATCGTCAACATAACCTGCATATATACTTAATTCTATCACCAAACATAGGTATAGGGGTTTTAACTAATAGATTTCACAAGTTTTGGTGAATCTGTGATTTCAACAGGGTTTATCTCGAAAACCATCAAGGTGGACCCAAACGTCAGACTTAATCGTGCTTAACCGCGGCGTAAACAACTCAAGAAGGTTCCAAAGGACACCACACCGAAGATGACTGCGAGAGGCTTCTAGGTAGGGCCGGCCGGCCCCACCTATAGGCCGGCAGGCCTATGGGTCCACCTATCAGCCTCCGCCTCGCTACGTCGGTTCTCCACCGCATTAAAAGATCGCATCTACGCCGTTTATTTAAGTCGATTTGATCCAAGGGTCCAGAATTGACGCTACCCCCTATATATATAGCCCTGTACCCCCCTTCTTGGAGACATCTTAGAAACCCTAATTCATATCTCTCATTCAGATCAACACACGCCAGGAGGATTAGGTCTAGAACTCTCCAGTATAGTAGATTGGTAGCTCGAGAGTAAGGGTCGAGTTGGGCTCAAGCTCAAGTTCTGGATCTAGTCTTGGAGGCTCAGCAAAGCCTTGTATCTTCACTTCTATATTTTGTAAGACTTATTATCAATTTATCATATTTCTATCTACATGGCTATGCTTACTTTGAATATATATCTTGCTTAGTTAAGTTTATCTTTACTTTTGTGTACGGGTTCATAGAGTGCTTAGCCTGCTAGTTTATCGATTGGGCTAAGTAGCCAAGTCTCATGTAAGCATGGTGCTTATATGATGCTCTGCCTATGAGTGCACCCTGTTCCCTGGTTGTGTGGTAGCAGCGGGAGTTGATAGCCCCGTCTATCCTCTATAGTCCACTTCGAATTGAGTAGGTTCTTAAATTGTAGGACCGTAGTCGCGTCAGTAGAGTTATCTATTGTGATGCTCTACCGTCTAAACAGCGTCCCGAAGTGCACAAGAGTAGAGTTAGTCTTAGTTATATTTGGGTGTATATATACTTTGACCATGTAATAAGAATATCATAGAAATCTACCTCACCCGTTGTTCTCCCGAGTTGACTAGTTTACATTATCTTAGTGATCTATCCCCTGAGTGTCATTATACATAATTCCTATCATTACCTTTACCCCTTGTTCTAGCTATGTTGTATGTTGACTGATAGATATTTCTTTATTACTTAATAAGTCTTTACTCTATTGTTTTCCTGTGGTAAAATATAAATAGCGATACCTGAAATACTCCCGGTAAAATGCTACAATGGTATTCTGTGCACTTGCGGAATCCTTCATATTCTATTTGCGTTAATAAATACCAACACCTGTCTTCGTTGGCGTCGTCTTCGCCTCCGGGGGAGAACCGAGCTTCCACCTCACCCGCAACGACCTCCTCGACGACGCAGCCAGGGTCTTCGGCTTCTCCATCACCGGAGCCGTGGACGCGCTCGCGTGTTTCACCAGCCTCAACCGCGTCAACAACCTCACCGCCACGCTCCTGGGGTCAACCTTGACCCCGTTGTTACCCCGGCTCAGATTCGTGAGTGCCGTGCCGAGCTCAGCGCCCCCTCCCCGGGTTCCTCTCTCCTACAGTTGGTGGTGCCCGAGGAGGACAAGGTTCCCAACACCTAGTCCAACAGGTGTTCGATGAATTGCCTCATCCTCGTACAGAGCTGTTTCTCGCCTCCATTCAGTTGCAGCTGGGATGCGGTGCAATACATGCTGCACACACCATGGCCACCACCTACAGAACTCTGGTTGGTGAACTATGATGATGGGCTGCGTCCTCTACCGTGGCCGTCATTCAACTCGGTTGTAAGGCCTTTTGTCCATGACAAAAAATTTCGGTCACGGATCACCAAAAAACCATCACAAAGCAACATCTGTGACGGTTTTAGATACCATCATGGATTGAGCGTCATGGATTAACCTACGTGGCGGTTTTGCATAAATCATCACCGATTAACACAATCCGTGACGGTTCTAGACCATCATCAAACAGCCCAAGGCCCAATTAGTCCAACCCAAGCCCAATGTCTATGACGAAAAATAACCATCATAGATGTGAATTGCCACGTCATCATAGATGCTTATGTGGACGCTTACATGGATGATAATGTGGACGCTTACATCGCCATACCAGCCCATTTATTAGATCAGAGGTGGGCTGGACAAATATTTTTGGACCAAATTCATAGGTATAATTTTGTCAACACAAATGAGACCACTTAATTAATCAAGCATCCTAATACATACAATATCTCATGTTTTTGTCTAGCATTAAATCAGATACAAAGTCTCATGTTACACACAAGTTTCCATCTAGCATCACATAAAGTTTTCATCCTGCATTACATAATATAGCAAGTAATCACGAGATCAGTTACTATCACAAGCCTGGGAGGACGTGCTGCAGCTCTGCTGCTCCTGTTCCAGCAACAGCAGCATATCCAGAAGGGCGTGCTGCAGCTCTGCTGCTCCTGTTTCAGAAGCGGCAGCAGCATATCAAGAAGGACATGCTATAGCTGTTCCAGCAGCAGCAGCATACCAATTTGTAGAGAACTGCATAGCTTCAGCATTAATTAGATGTTCTACAGGAGTCGCAATTGAAGAAAGCATCTGCACAGACAAGGTTGAGACTAGTGAAGTGCTGTAGACAAGGCTGAGAGTTTGTCAAAAAAAAAATGTCTTGATGTACTTCACGGGTTTCAACTTAATAATATTCAGGTGGGGAAGTATGGTTTGATGCTTTGTAAGGTCACATGCTACTAACAATTCGTTGTTGATAGTATTAAACCAGAGTTCAGAAACAGTACATTTTTCAGGCTTTATTTGACAGAATACTTTGCAATCACTAGGGCTGCAATTCAATGTACTTAGCAAATATACCATTACAGGGTATCAATTACTAAAATTCAAAGACAGATTCATTTTCCTCCCATCTAGGCATTTCAACAAACAGTTAGTGCACAGACCTACTACATGAAACAGAACAACTACATCAGATATATGAGACTTAAACTAGACTGAAACTCAATTAGCAGCAGATATTATTTCGTTTTCTATTATGGAACCTCTGCAGCAACAACCATGACTTCGTGATCATTCAAATGATTTGACAAGTGGGAATAACTATGATGTTTCAGATCAAATGATAAGCTTAGCATGAAGCAAACACCCAGCCCATATGATTTAAAACTTGAGTTTGAACTTCATATCAACCACTCTAGCATGCATGACATTGACTGCAACTGCAACTGGGAAATACTACAGCCTGGCTCAACTAGGTAACAAAGGCACAATTAATAAGCACAATGGTATATATAGTTGTCTGGTGTATACAGCAAAAATGGGCTAGTGCAAGGATCAAACCTGACAAATATTTTTTGCAGCAATTGTGGCCTGGTCTGAAGGGCGGGCCTAGCCGGTGCAAGCGGTAGAGTCTTACCGCCTGTGACCGGAAGGTCCTGGGTTCGAGTCGCGGTCTCCTCGCATTGCACAGACGAGGGTAAGGCTTGCCACTGACACTCTTCCCCAGACCCCGCACAGAGCGGGCCGGAGCTCTCTGCACTGGGTACGCCCTTTTAATTGTGGCCTGGTCTAGAGATCTGCAGTTAAGATCAATTAAATTACAGTAGTCTGGGCATATAGCACCAAGGGCCATATAATTAGTAGTCTGGTGCATACAACAAAAATGGGATAGTGCAAGAATCAAACCTGACAAATCTTTTTTCCAGCAGTTGTTGTCTAGTCAAAAGATCTGCAGTTAAGTAGGATCAATTAAATTACAGTAGTCTGGTGTATACTACAACAATGGGCATACGTATTAGCCTGGTGCGTACAGCAGATTTCTTTGTTTATTTATAAATTATTACAATGATTTTGAATAACAGTCGCTAGTTAAATAATCAGGCAATTATAATAGTACTGAGCAGGGGCATAACCAGGCTACCCCACCCATTTGGTCATATCCTAGTATTAATTCTTTTAATAAGGCTACTCCCTGAAGCCTAAGACGGACTCAGTTGGACAAGTGGGCCGACACATTCTGCCACAAGACGATAGCAAACTTGGTAAGAAAATAACACATCCTGTCCTACCAACTCAATTATCTGAATACTCAATCATGGTAAAACCAAAATGAAATTTACCAACCTGTTCTCAATTTCTTTGACAGGGTCTGCATGCCCATGCTGCCGCCCAAGCCATGCCTGCTTCCTCCACAGCACATATGATCATGTAAGTACAATTGTCAATAGGTTCATACACCGACTGATCCTAAAGCTATTTAGGTGACATGAAGATACACTAAAAAAAAAAGGGCATACCCAGTGCAGAGAGCTCCCGCTCTGTACAGGGTCTGGGGAAGGGTGTCTGTGGCAAGCCTTACCCTCGCCTATGCAATGCGAGGAGACCGCGACTCGAACCCGGGACCTTCCGGTCATAGGAGGTAAGACTCTACCGCTTGCACCAGAGCCCGCCCTTCACATGAAGATACACTACAGGCTATTTATTTTCCTACATACTACGATTGAAATAAACTGCTTGTTAGTTAAGTGGTTTCTTTATAAACCTATTATTGTTCAGTTTCTTTAGCTACTGTTAGACTAGACAAATCTGGCTCCTTTTTAGCTTAAATCAGTATAAATATCAGTGAGCAAGTCAAGACAACTTTAGAACAAAGAACTCAGTTCTCTTCTATGGTAAATTATCTGCTGATCTACTCTTTCTTTGTGTCCTCAGTAGTACAGACAGATAATGAACCAGAACAACTGAACAAACAGTTCTGCATTTTTAGAAATCAATATAGAATATTGTTAGTAACCACATAATTATTTTTGCAGATAGTCTGACAAAATACTGTGAACATACTACTACCTCCTGTCACATTCATTTGATGTTTCAGGTAGAGCTTAAAAGCAAGGTTATTACAATGTAGTAAGAATGTCTAGCTTCTCTATCCCCTCTGCTCTCTATTAAAACTGAAGCCTCAATTTCTATTAGAATGTAGCCGATTGAGACTTGCAAGAACAATAATGATCCCCAACAACCAAGACTCGAGATTCAGAACCTACCAAGACGCTAGATGTAGAACATCGGTTCCTCGAGCAAGCTAAGCATTGTAGGTAAAGAATCGGGTTCCTAAGAGGTGCACAAAGTAGATGGACGAGGAGGGAAGCGGATGGGCGTTCACTTACGCTCCTTCTTGCTGAACCAGTAGCACTACGCGCCGCCCGATTCGCAGACAACGCCACCGCACCGTCGCTGTTCCGCACCGCCGCAGCCCTGAGCCGCCGCTGCTCTGCACCACCATATCCCGGCTCGCAGCCCCGGGCCTCCACTGATTCGTGCCGTCGTAGCCCCACGCCGCCGCAGATCTGAACCGCCGCTGCTACGCGCCACCGCATTCCGGCTCGCAGCCCTGGGCCGCCGCTGATCTGCACAGCCGTAGGCCCACGCCGTCGCAGCCCGGCATGCTATTCCGCATCGCCGCTACTCCACGACGCCAGCAGCCACCGCACCGTAGCAGCACCCACGCCGCTGCTGCACCATTTTGGGAGTTTGAAGAGAGAGGCAGAGGGGAAGCGGTGCTCCGGCGGCGGCTGGTGAAGTTGAGCGGCGCGTGGAGAATCAGGAGGATGAGACGGAGGGTCGGAGCCGGAGGGACCGAATTTTTTATTTTTTAGTTTTTAAAAAAAAAAGTTTTTCATAAGAAAAGATTTATCCTTAGCTCGGCGTCGTGGCGCCGAGTTTACACCGAGATCTTAGGCTCGACAGCTCGACGCCGCACACACGTTGACGTCGAGCTTGGCACCCTGTACGAGAGGCCGTGATGGAAACATTGGGCACTGGGCGGTAGCCTAGCCCGTAGGGGAGAAGAGAGCGCACTGGCTCCACTGTCCACTCCACTCCTTTCCTCTCCTCTCTCTCTCGCTCTACCTGCAGGAGTAATCGAGTACAGTACTGTAGGACTGTAGGAGCAGAGGAGAGAAGAAACACTTTCTGCAGCTTTTTGTCATCTCCACATAGCTGGCTTCCAAGCGAAGGAACCTGAGGGGTAGCCGGTGGAGGAGAGATTTTTGTCATCTACTACTACGGCTTGGGCTTTCAATTCATTCATGTGGGGCCTCGTTTAGTTGCGCCCGAATTTGGCGTGGCAAAGTTACTGTAGCCACATTAACTACCGTAGCATTTCGTTTGTATTTGATAATAATTGTCCAAACGTTGACTAATTAGGCTCAAAACGTTCGTCTCGCAAAGTACAACCAAACTATGTAATTAGTTTTTAATTTCGTCAATATTTAATACTCTATGCATGTACCGCAAATTTGATGTGATGGAGAATTTTTTTTTGCATAGTGCCAAAATTTGAATTCTAGAGGAACTAAACGCGCCCTGGGTTGGCTTTGATCTTTTGTTTTTTTACAAAGGTTTTGATCTTTTTGCTGAACAGGCAGATGAAGCAGTAGAAAGGTGATTTCTTGGTCACTACTAAAATTTTAACTTTATCTAAACGGTTATCTTAAATAAATTACTAAATGCTCAACAAAGAATCATAGAGGGGATTTACTGACGGTGAGATAGTTGTTATTGGACACGGTTATGGTGTGACCGGTTGCGCTCCCGTAAGCGTGCGACCATGGCCATTGCTGCCTCCCACCACCATCCGTAACCACAGGTAACACACTGCCTTGTTGTACCGCTCGCTACGCAATCTCGCTTGACGCCCTGTCCTACATTAATCTATCGTCTTCGTCAACCGGTCGCCATGAATCTTCCTCATCCCTGCTATACGTCGAAGAGAATAAACTTTATATCAAAATTGTAGAGCTCACTTTGATCTACTTTGTCAAGTTTTTATTTAAAATTATTCAAGTGATAATTTTTAAATTCTTAAATTTTGTAACTCAAAATTTCTAGTTTTTGAACAGCATCGAGTATTGACATGGTCGTTCGAAAATTCTACATTTTGAATTTCTGCATTCTGCATCTGATAATTTAAAAGAAATTTTTAGCACTAATAATTTCAATTCACTGATTAAAAATATAAGCTAGTAGTACATCCACCAAACAAACAAATATACTGTACAGGATTAAAAGAGCAGATCAGTGCTACTAAGGGCGTGTTTAGATCCGAAAATTTTTGGGTTTTGGATACTGTAGCAATTTTGTTTGTATTTGGTAATTAGTGTCTAATTATGGACTAATTATGTTCGAAAGTTTCGTCTCACGATTTCTCACCCAACTGTGCAATTAGTTTTTTTTTCGTGTATATTTAGTACTCTATGCATGTACCGTAAGATTCAATGTGACACTTACTGCGTAAAATTTTTTGGTTTTGAGAGAAACTAGACAGGGCCTAAATGCCATTTGACACAACTCCACTGGTGGTCTGATCCCTCGTTCGTGGTCATCGGTAGTGACCAACAGGTGGGTTAGGGGCCAATGTCTTGTCATATCAACATTACACCAGCCTCTTCTTGCACTGGTCGGATGCCCTGCCAAAAGGTTTGCTGGCTACATTACGCCAACGCCGCCGTCCCGAAGTCCGAGTAGCCTCTCGTTCCTGTTCATCTTCTCCACCAATCCACTGCGCTCTAGCTTTATTGAGCCTGTTCGCTGTTTTCATCAGGGCCTCTCGTACAGGGCGCTGTCCCATCAGGGCAAAGTAGATGATGAAAACAGTGAAATGCCTGGTGCATTGGGCCTCTTGTACGGCCATAGCGTTGTCCCATCAGGGCCGTTCAGGGCGCCACGGCCATAGCGTTGTCCCATCAGGGCCTCTCCTACAAGGCGTCAACGGCGCCAGCGTCTACGGTGTCGTCGAGATGTTTACCAAATCAGCATCACGTCAGCGTCGAGTCTAAGATCTCGGCGCAAAAAACGATGACGCCGAGCAGTATAAGTTCAGCGTCAGCGACAATGATATCGAACTAAGAGTCCAGATTCTAAAATCTTTCCCCATGTGAAAAACTTTAAAAAAAATAGCTAAAAAATAAAAAATTCGGTCGGAGGGAGGAGTGTGCGGCTGTTGGAGACTGAAAGGATTATTGGGCTAAGGGTTTGTCTTCCTTTTTATACATTGATAGCGGTAGCGGGCTGGGATGGGCCCAGTAGTATGGGCTCGGTTACTCAGTGACGTTCTAAAAATCCGTCATGATTAAAGGATTTCTTGTAGTTCGACTCTGGAAAACCCTCATGCATCTCTTCACTTCGGCAACTAACCAGGTGTGTGCCTTCTGTGTATATGGCATGCGGGAACTACATGATCATGTCTGGCCAGTTAGATGATACTGATGTGGTTGGACTGCCTGTTCAGAATGCAGTGCATCAAGCGCTACTCAGTGATAGCACTCAACTCCGGCCACTTCCTTGGCCATCCTCCTCTACTTATGCAGCGTCTGTGCAGTTGAACGCCTCCCTGTTAGTGGTACTTCACGGGTTTGGTTACTTCTTTTGTTGGCCAGGGCTTCCTCAGTTGACGCTATGTCATCTTTTATTGCAACTCTCTTGGCTGTCACCTGTTTGGGCATGCAGTTCAGTGGTTTTGTGGTTTCAGGTATAGCACAACTGCAGTGTTGGTTTATGGGCTGGTTTTCTTGAGTCCTTTCAGTTACATACTTGGTGCTATGCCTGTCAAACGAAGCAATCTTTCTTTACCTTACTGATTGTTCCAGGATATGCTTTTACTGAGATGCACTTTTGGTCTATCAATGCAACAATTATGTTGCTGAGTGCACCATTGGTTGAATTTGAGCTACTCACGACAAGGATTGCAAGAGGTGATTTTGTGCCTCCATCAGTTACTGCTCAGTCTGAACTTCCGGTGCTCCATTATATCAGTTCCTGTTGCTTCTATGGTGGTTTGGTTGAACCAGTTCAGCTATTACACTTTCTGTCCGAATGGGCTTCTAATTCTCTACTGTCCGAATGGGCTTCTATGGTAGATGGTGGTAAAGCCAGAAGTTGGATGTGTCAATTTCGCTCGCAATGTGCAAGACAGTGTTGTTCGTGGGTTCTGTCATGCACTTGCGTCAGGAAAGGATTTTGCTCGGGAGCCTGTTCTTCCACCTCTATATGCACGTCCTGGTCAAGTGGAGCGAGCTCTGACAGTTAGGTACCATGATGCCGTGCACGTTCTTGGACCTCAACGCAAGGAACTTGATTTACTTATTGGAATACTAGCTGACAACATGTTTCAGTTTGTGACAAATACACCACTTTCTATAGACATGAGCAGACATGCACATTTGCAATTCTGGCAACAGTCTGAAGTTATGCTATTGTGTTGGAAACGTTGGCCTAAGTTACTTCAAAGTGCAGCGCAGGATGAACTCAATTGAGGGAGACAGTTCACTGGCTTCAGTCATCTCGTGCTTCACTCATCGCTGGGCAAACTGCTTTTACAGTCATATATAATTCTATGAACACCTGCTCGGACTGCACCTTAATCTCAGTCCTTGTATTTGGCAAGTATTTGGTAGCTGCTTCTTTACTCAGAACCAATTCAATTTCCAGCAAGGCTGCAGACGTTCAAGCTTGCTTCATTGTGTCTCTTTGTCCAACTCATACAAGAACATACAGCATGATAGTTACAACAAGCATCAATCCAGTGGACTGGAAGGTATGTCAGATACCTATGTCTGGTGTGATGGCGGATTGCTTTTCAGCATTTAAGGACTTGCAAGTGCCATGGGATCCAGGTGGTACTGAAAATTCTCCGTCGGCTTGGGGGCAACCTGAAACTCAAGAAGGGGAGAATGTCTGGGATCACTCATGGTGGGCCGTCATATGGGCCCTAGGCCTTGGCCTAGTCAAGTATTTGCCTGGACTGCCGGTCGTCTCCTAGAAGAGCTCCGGGGTATTTCAGGGCACCGATTAGTCAACAGGCCACGTGGCCCACAACTCGCCAGTCAGCGAAGGCCCGAACGACCGAGGCCCAACTAAGCCGAATGCATCAAGGCTAAGGTCGACCACGACCCCTCCTCCGGTCTTGACCGCACGACGCTCACACGACCTCTCCCTCGACGCGACCCCTAGGAGGGACGGAAGAGGTCGAGCCCCGCACGCCACACCCGCTCTGACACGAGCGAGCATGCCATACTGACCCCGCAAGGACCAAGGGGACAACAGTCACCTCGGCCCGATCAGACACCATTCGTGTGCCATGTCGCACCGATAAGACAACACCGCACTACGGTGACAACGGGTATGATACCCACCGTCCAAATACGGATCGACTAAACGCTTGTACGATCCCACCCACTACGAGATGTGATCCACGACGAGGGACTCGACGAAAGGGCCATCCAGACCGGTAGAGTGCCCCGACCTTGAAGATCGGGGTCGTGGCCCTCGGCCCCATGAAGCGACCAAGCAGACGACTACCCAGGGCAGTGTCGGCACG